ATACATAACATGAGCAGGGGATACTGGTGTCCAGCATGATCTGGGTCTCAAATTTATTTCAGTGTAAGAGCTGTTCTTGCTGCTGGGATAGGGCAAGTGGCAACCACTCTGATGGCAAAAAGCTTGAAGCAAGGCAAGACAAGAAGAAACCGAGAGCACTGCACCACCCTGGCTGAAGGAAGCCATGCTCTTCAAGGGAAATCATCTCCAAAGGTTTTTTTAGAATCACAGAATGCTTTGGGTTGGAAGGGACCTTTAGAGGTCATCCAGCCCAACCCCCTACAGTGAGCAGGGACAGCTTTAACCAGATCAGGGTGCTCAGAGCCCCATCCAACCTGGCCTGGGATGTTTCCAGGGATGGGGCCTCCACCACCTCTCTGGGCAACCTGTGCCAGTGCTTCACCACCCTCACTGTAAAAAATTACTTCCTTATATCCAGTCTAAATCTATTCTTCTTTAGTTTAAAACCATTACTCCTTGTCCTGTCAAGGCTCCCTAACAAGCCATAGGAGAGAAAAAATAAATACTTGGCCCAGGTTTAACGCACTGCGCTGCAAAACGTCATGAGAAAAGGCATGTATGTGCCTGAGGCAGATTGGTAGAACAACCTTGATGAGTGGTCCCACACCACACCACGGCCACCACACTGGACACTGCCTGAGACAGCCTCTAGCAGAGCTTAAGAACAGCATGTCTTGTCATCTTGTCATCTCAGAACCACCCCTTAATGCTGCTACATTTGGAATGTGAGAGAATCCACCCACAAATAAATCAGAAATAAAAGCTGCACATACACAACTGCTGATTATTCTTCTCTAAGACGAAATGATTTTATCTAGCAGCTAGTTTGAACAATGATAGCCTTTCCCTGCTTAGCCCAAAAGAGAGTTGTTTCTACTAGCTTCTTCTGAGGTCAAAAGAAGTTTGCGGAACACCCTTGCAGTGCAACTCTTAATTGGTCAGGTCCATAAACCATCTACTTAAAAAAAAAAAAAAAGTCCTGGGAGGGAAGGGCAGTTACAGACCCTTGCTTTGAGCTCAGTCCGGCTCCCATCAGCTCAGATGAGAACTGGACCATGGTCCACACTCATAACCGCAGAGACGCGCAGCCAGGTGATCACTGGGGTTAATTTAGCGTGCCCAGTGGGGATTTTACCATTTTCCAAGCAACATCCCCCAACCAAACTGACCTTCCAAAGGACTGCAGAGGTTTCTGTTCCCTATGGGATCTCTGGAATTGAACCGTCCCCTTCTCCATCTGGGATGAAACTGAGCCCAAGAAGGAGGGGTGTCAGCACGAGGAGGTGGAACGTCCTAGCAAACGGCCCCAGCGGAGCAGCGCTGGAGCTGTTCCAGGCTGAGAACTCGCAGCTCTCGGGATTTAAGCTGCTGCTGCCAGCCAGCAGGATCCCACAGGCCAGAGAGGCACGTCGGAAAGGAGGCAGAGTACGGCCTCAGAGACAGAGATTAGTACAAGAGCGAGCATGCCAAATTTGCATCCGCTGGCGGGGCCAAACAGAGGGATCAGCCGTGCTGCCAGGCACGGCGCAAGGAAAGGTGTTTGCAAAGGTCATCGCCAATGAGTGGAAGGTACCCAGCGATTACTGCTGGAAGAGCCTGAAAAACCTCCAGCTCAGATTTTCAGCGGTGCTTTGTGATCACCGCTCATTTTGAAGCACTGCGGTCCACTGAAAAGCCAGGCCTGCTGCACAGGGTAACAGATAGGGTTAATTCACTTGGGCTGCTGGATGTGAGGGGAAGCAAGACCAGGCCAGCTCTTCCCATAGTGTGGAAGTGCAAAAGAAAGTATCCTAACATCAGGAGAGCAATGAATTTTGCTCTGTTTAAACAGCTTTGGAAAGAACAGGAGAGAAAGGGGGAGGAAGAGAGGATTTTTTCCTAAACTTCTAAAAGATTTTTCTTTAATCGGCTGGGGATTCAGCCTTGAAAAGAAAATTAATTATAAAACAAAAGCATGGTGAATACCCTTCCAACTTCCAATTATCCTCCAGTGCTAACAAACAACTCTGTAAGCTGTCTGCTTTTCTGCTTAGTAATTTCTAACCTAGCAGGTTTTTATTGTGAGCTGCAAGGAAGCAATTGGCCCCGTGGCGATAACACAGCACTAGCGGCACCATAAACACGGTATTTTGTATCTCCAGATTACTGGCGCCGTGTAACCTCAGATAAGAACATTTACACATAGAAACCCTATGTTTCCAGACACAGCCGGTACCTTTGTTTTGTTGGCTGGGGCTGATCTCTGCCTGCTCTTTGATCTCTCCTGAATGGTGTCGTTGCAGCTCCGACTCCTTTCCACCTTGGCGGTTAGGTTCCTGAAAAGCAGATGTGTGAAACGAGGAGATCGTTCATGACCTTAGGAACAACCAGCCCAACAGCCCTGGCAGCAGCTATCTGTGGGGGAGGCATCAGCCTTGGCAGCACCCGGCTGTTCAAGATGCCTCCTACGCCCTCGGGATAAAGGGATCCAGGAATCTTGGATCTGCTGCAGAGCCCTGGGCTGTGTTCAAGGGCTCCACGCTAAACGCGCTGATACCTCCACCTACGGCTTATAACTAATTGAGGTCAGAGCTAATGATGATGCTATGGAAACCTCTGTGCTGCTTCGTGTGAAAACCCATTTAGTTACTCAGCTGCTTCCACTGCATCGTGCAACAGCTTTCACTGATAAGCTGTTTGAGGCTGATGCTATCTCTTAATATCTGTGCTGGAGAAGGATCCGGCACTCTTTTTGAGTTCATCATGCAGAATTCTGTACTTTAATGATTTCATAGAATCACAGAATCGTTTACATTGGAAAAGACTTTTAAGATCATCCAGTCCAACCAGTAACCTAATACTACCATGGCCACCACTAAACCAATTAAGGGCAGAGCAGCAATTTCATGTTTCCTGCCTTGGTGGCTGGATTATTTTTTAATGACAGTAAAAACTAGGAGTCATTAAGGTTGGAAAGGACCTCTAAGATCATCAGTCCACCATCAACCCAACACCACCATGCCCACTAAACCATGTCCCAAAGTGCCACCTCTGCCCGTTTTTTGAACACTGCCAGGGAGGGGGACTCCACCACCTCTCTGGGCAGCCTGGTCCAATGCTTGACCCTCTCTCGGCAGCCTCTTCCAATGCTTGACTGACCTTTCTCCTAATATCCAATCTAAACCTCCCCTGACGCAACTTGAGGCCATTTCCTCTTGTCTTATCGCTTGTTACTTGGGAGAAGAGCCCAACACCCCCCTCCCTGCCCCCTCCTGTCAGGAGCTGCAGAGCGATCAGGTCTCCCCTCAGCCTCCTCTTCTCCAGGCTGAACACCCCCAGCTCCCTCAGCCGTTCCCCATCAGCCCTGTGCTCCAGACCCTTCCCCAGCTTCTGTCATTTAAACCTACAGGCAATGATTCTTCTCCTTTGTGGGATCAACACTAACTTCGTTAACCCCCAGGATTTTATAATAGGTAGGAGGTAATCAGACAGAAACTACATTCTACCAATTAGTCTGTTCTAAAACTTCAGAAAAATTATTACTTATTTTGGATTGGAACAACCATTTTAATTAAATTTAGAGCATCTTGGGTATGTTTAGAACAACAGTCAAAAGAACATGAGATTTCCATCTCTAATGAACATTAATCAGCTTGTATCAAGTCTCAGCATCTTACCCTGAAAGGAAAGCAAAGGAGTATGCACTGGTCTTGGAAACAAAAGCCGACCGATGTGTTTGCTTGCCCTGGAATGGTTCTTCATTCTCTGAATCCGAGAGACGTTCAGGAAACTGAAGCCAATCAAGGAAGAGTTAGCTGACATGTACAACAAAAAGAATCACTTGGAAAATAAAGCTCTTTCTTGCAAAGATATTAAAGATTCCAAAAGCCCCCGTTCTGATTACACCTAGAGGACATAAACCGAGAATGCAACCTGCCAGCAGATACACATCCTCGTGCGGCTCTCTTCACTGGAGCTGTAACAGCTCAGAGGCTGTCCCCAAAAGTATAAATAATGAAAAAATAAGCACACAGCTCCTACGTATAGCTGTCAGTCATTGAAGAAAGTTAATTTATTGATCAAGGAAACGTGAGAAAATCCTACAAGAGAGGTACTACGGGACGTTATTCAGTATCAGCCTATCAGTCTTTAAATCTCAAGAGCATTTCCTGCGGAGTCTTGCAACTGCAATGAGAAATAGGCAAAACTCAGCATGAAGAATCTGTTGGACTACGGTATCGTACGCCTACACTGTTGAAGATTCATGGAGAAATTTTCATGGAAATGGTTATATGCCTGAAGACCAAAGGCACACAAAGCAGAGCGGTTACCTCTACAGGTAACAATCTACCTCCACCTCTAACTGACACGTTTGGAAGAGCTGCACCTTCAGTCGTAAGGTGGGTGAAAAGGGGGACAGAAACCTCCAGAACATCTGTAGTCATAACAAACCTTAGAAGACAGCTCTCATTAACATGGTTCTTTATAGTCCGTTAGCTCATAGCCTTCAAGGGCTGTAAAGATGTCAATCAACTAATCCTGGAAAGCTCCCTGTGTCAAAGGATGAAAGCTCCCAGTTTTAATGGGCAGGAACAGGAGATGCTCAACTAGTCAAGCTCTTAAAGAAACTAGTTCTTGTTCCCAAACTGAGTCTTAGCAGCATTTCACCTACCAGTCAGTGTCTATGATGTGGATAGGAAAGAGAAGCACAAGCTTACTTACACACTCTTGGTTCACTTTAAGCACTAAAGATTCATCTTTTTTCTGCTGTTCTTCCACTTTTCTTTTTCCTACGTCCATGTCATCTAGAATGAACTTGTGAATCAGATCCTCAGAAGCTTTTTCTTCTTGTAGTTTTTCTTCTCTCAGCTGGAAATAATGACAAAAGAGACAGCGTATTTGAAATGTCTTAAGTCCTATACCTGGTTGCCAACAAGTGATTTTTGCAAGAGTCTGGCCACATCACTTAACGTTGTGTCTTCATTTTTCTACTCTAGAGTAGAGCCACTGCCTCCCTCACTAGCAATAATGTGAAGATTGGTTTGTTTCTACAGTGCTTTCACATTCATGCACTCTACACAAATACCATGGATATTGTCTTCTTTGCAAAACAGCAAAGGCGCTGTTAGGTCCAGGGTTTGACAAAGACTTCTCTGCCACACCATCTTCTAAAATAGAGAGACAAAAGCTTTCATCTACTGTACATAATCACACTACAAATAAAAACGTGCAAAACAGCAGTTTCATGCAAGCTATGACGTTTCAATTTTAGTCTTCAAATGGACTGCAACACAGTACGTACAATTTGACAGACATACAGACAGCATCACCTAAATTAAAACTGGTTAGGTACAGCAATTCCATGTCGAAACCTAAACGCTATAGGAAATCCTATTGTTTCATTGACGTGTTGGGACGGAGAAGATCCAGAGAGATTACCTAACCCTCCGACGGCCAACCAGAGGCCCAAAGCTTAAATTCATTTTATCAGCTGAAGTGCAAACCCAGATGACAAGTGCAAGTGAATGCCAGGATCTAGGACACAAGGTACACGGATCCATGGGATCCTGCCTGCTGCACATCAAACAGCCGTTGCCTGTGCATCACGCTGGACACACTTGCTTTTACCTCCTGGCTTCCTACTCTGCCCTGCGTAGGTAACCCCTTATTGAAATCCCCTTGCTTTTTTAATACATTCCTGCAATCTAAGAAGTCTGATCCAAAGAAGGCACCGAGCACTTTCAACCTTTTTGGTATCACCTCCTATGAGGAATACTTCCCCTGTATTCCCTTTTGTTTCTCTCTAATTCCAATGCATTCTTAGATGTTTTCTTGCTACTTTTTACCACCCTGGCAATTCAAAAAGGCTACGATGCGACTTTATTTTATCCACATGCTGCACTACCGCATTTCACAAACCTGAAGGCTGCACAAGAAATCCTACAGAACTGCCAGGGCAGCCCCAAGCTACATCTTGCTGCGCTTCACGTGCTTTTTCTGCACTGAAGGCTTTTTCGCTGTGCTTTCTAAAGCGTGCCTCTTCCATTAACTGCCAGTCCCCATATACTCCTTTATTTTCCCAGAAGACCCCCTACCCATTCTTGAGCTTGTGGAAGTCCAGTAATAAGGAAGGTGGGTAATAAGAAAAGTGGATTTCAGAGAAGTGCAAACACTTTCCTTCCTTCCCTCCCTCCAAAAAGCACAATCCATCACTTAGTGATCCCTTTTAACCAACCAAGGTCAACCTTTAGTGTCCACAAGCTCCTCCCAGCCAGGCTCTCCTTACAGAGACTTCTTTCTTCCTGAGCCAAAGGATTATGCCCAGCGCAGTCCACGACTCCGATGGGCTGCCTGTTCTGCTGCATTATTTTGCTCCCCCTTACCTAAGGAATCAAACTCCCCATATCTGTCAGCACCTCTTTTCTGCAGACTTGCTGCTCAAAACCAACAAACCCCCTTTTCTCCTCCTTTCCGCCACCTTTTCCTGATGAACAGGCTCTGCAGTATGTACTTCAGATAGCCCCGTCCGACCATCCCTGCCCAACATAACATCACCCAGCTCCCTTCTCACTCATTACTCAGCCATTCACCCAGCTCGTCTCTCACCTCTTCCTCAACTTCAGGCTTACACGTAGGCCATGAATAGTCTACATCTGTATGCATATATACCAGGTTCTTCCTTCTTCCTCCACCCAACCTCTGTGCATAAGTTATCCTCATCTGGGACAACAAGCCTGACCTTCGACTGACAGGTCTCCATCACGCCAATGAATCACAGCTATGGCTAAGCACTAGGAAATCAAATACTTCTGTTTATTCCTCATATTTGGGTGTAGGTATCTCAGATGCTTAAGAAGCTGCCCTGTTAGGTCCCCTCCTATCTTCTCACACAGCTGCAATTTGCCCCTCGCCTCCCCAGAGAGCAGTGCTGTGGGACCCGGTGCCCTCCAGTAAAGCTGAAGGCATCCACGGGCAGCTCGAGCACTGATCCTGCAGCACTGCACGTAAAGGCGGTAGGCGACGTTGCAACAACTCCTCATTCTTCCAAAAATATTTAGTGTTTTTCTTCCCTGCCACAGGGGGTGGGGGGGGAAAGCATGGACATGCAGGTGACAAAGAAAACAGAGTTCACGACACATTACATGAAAAGCACATTATGATTTTCAGCCTGGGAAGGACACAAATCCTCCTGAATCTGAACCCCGAGAGACGAGGAAGAGAGAGGTAGGAGGAGAGAAGGTAGAAACCAGGAACCCCCCCCTTGTTTGGCTGCTGTGGGTGTTTAGCAAATGTTTTCAAAGACTGGTCTGACTTCTCGTTTACAGTTGGTTTAAGATGTATCTTTAAATTCCTGATCTATTAATAATCTCAAGCAATAGCTACAGCACAGTGTCTGACTAATAAAGATTATGGTCACATGATGGAGACATGACGAATAGTCTGCTGTACATTTCATGAGCAATATTTCTGCACTGTAAGGAGCCTTTTTAAAGTATTTGAAAAACAAGTTCACATCAAGATTTATCATAAAGATGCCTCTTTTTGGCCAGCTGAAATGCTACGCAACACTTGTGTCCCTTCCGTATTTCTCACATGGAAAAACGCTGTATGGAACTATTCACTTTTTTTGCCTACTTTTTAAAATTATACTCAATTCCCAAATCTAAAGCCACAAGCATATGTAACAACACACAGGAATATCTAAGGATTTTAGGCCAACCCATGGCATAGTTAATGGGAGGTGCGAGCACAAGCTCCGCTGACAGTGAACAGTGAAAAAAGCAACAGCAGGATCCTAATCCTAATTAACGGGATACAAAAAGGAATTCAGGTCCAGCATTCAGGTTAGGTTGCAAACAAAAGCAAATTTTAACGACAAAATTTGTACAAATTAAAAAAAATATTTTTAAGTAGCCTAACGTAAATTACCTCCCAGAGAATTTACTTACAAACCTGGCAATACCGTGCTGGGACATGAGGACTAGAAACTGAAACAAGCCGGCGTGAAACATCTACCCTGGGTGAAGTATCTTATGTTATCTGAGCAGCATCTTTGAAATACTGGATGCAGGACCGTCAGCTGCTATGAGCAGCATGGTTATCCGAAAACGCATTTTAACCTGTCTGTAGCCCTGTCGGATATCCCGTTCGAAACTGCAGGAAAAATTACTGTACAAGCAATCGCTAATTTTTTTGCTCAAGAATTGCTCAAGAAATAAGAATTTCAGGAACATCATTCTTGGTGCTAACACTGACTTCCAAAAGTTTGGTAAACTCACGTTTGACATCTTCTTTTCACTCCATAAACTGTCCGGGTTTGCTTGTTCACTCCCTGAGTCTGCTGCGTCTACCCATGCTGCTGGAAAGCTGCATGTCAGCACATGCCTCAGGTAGGAGTTTCCCTCCTGATGGCGTGTGATTACAAGCAAGACTGCTTGTGATAGACAGACAGTTTAACAGGATGAGTTACGGTTTTAGTACACAGAAACGATATCCTCCTTTGGAAAAGTATAAAATAGAGGAGCACCAAGTGCGCTGCGTAAAAGAGGGGAAAAAAAATCTTGCTATCCTGCACAGACAGCAAACATTTCATCTCACTCTGAAAGCCAGTTGAGAAAATTACACTATGGGATTATCCACTTCAAATAAAAATTCTTCAGTACATAATTATGGTAACTACTTTGTTTTCAACTGCAAAAGGCTGGGAAGCAGGTCAAGAGCTAGGATTTATAAAACAACTCACACCTGGGAGATGTAAAAGCTTTTGAACGCTCCTCTCCCTCCCTCAGGAGGAAAGCCAGCATGCGTTATCCCCGTTTGACAGGCAGGGAAGCCAAGATGAAATCTCCTGCCTCGAGACACAGAGGGAAGCCCAGTTATACACAAGGTTCGATTCCCAAATCTGAGTTCCTGTCCCCTCTCTGCCTAATTCAGAAATCAGAGACACCAAGAAACTCTCACTAAGTGGCAACAGTCACAATTTTACCTGGAAAAAGGAAAAAGCACAAAGCACGAGTGCATCATCGGTTGCCATTTTGTCAGCAAAATTACATTGCCCTTTCCTCTTAGATGATGATTCAGAGAATCCCCCCCCACGCACCAGCTCTTTCAGACAAAGGTCATAAAAAGTGAGTTTAAGTCAGCAGGGGAAAGATACCTCTCTCCCATCTGCCAGTGAGCAAAAAGGGGAAGCCAGCAGGCTGAACAGAAACGAGACAAAAACATGCCCAAAATGCCAGAAACATGTTCAAGTATTTCCTTTTGACTGGTGGGGAAGTAAGAAGTGTTGGCACTGGACTGCACGTGGTGTCTTTTTGCTGAAGTCAAGCGGTAGATGCAAAAACCTCTTCAGCTGCAGTCTGACTACACTTCAAATGTGCTTACTTGAACTTCATATGTAATATTTAAAGTCGGTAATGGAGTGATCAGGATTAACAAGTGGTGACAAAGTACCCACTTTGTCCTGCACGGATGCAATCCTCCTATCAAAGTTTTATGGACCATGGGAAAGAAGATGGTTTAATCCTTCCCAAAGATCCAGATACGCATCAGTCCGGAGGCACTTGGAAGAACTGCAGAGCTAAGATCCTGCCTCAATGAACTCAGGCAGCTCCTGTTCCTCTGGACACCCGGGAAATTCTGGCCTTGCAGCTGGATTGAAGACATCAAGCAACAAGTCTGGCAGGATCAATGAGGAGTTAGCTCCAATATCATCATGGAAAGTCACTCCCACTCACTGTTACGGAGAGATTTATAAAACTCTGGCAAGGTTTACAGATAATACCTACATAAAAAGCTTTATTTCTTCTTTAAGCCAAAGATACCCTGAGGATACTCATCCTAAAGGTTACAGTGAAAAAAAATTAAATTGCCAAATAGAGTGATGCACATTTAAGTTAATTAATAAACTAGGTTTTTATATGAATACGATTTCTGTGCACTTAAGTCTTACACTGCTGCCTAAACCAACTGCTTCTCACTTGCTAAAAATGCCGCAAGCCACAAGACTTGACGCACAAAGCATGCTTGCCTACCTAGCAAAAGTCACCTGGACCGGAGAAGAGTGTGCATTTCTTAAGATCACTTAACAAAAGGTCATAGTCAGCCAAAGTTATCCTAATAACCTGTAGTGACCCTGCCCATCAGTGTCACTGCTAATTCCACGCACAGAGAAGCAGGAGAGAAGACCCTTCCGTATTTTTAATTGTCTCCTCACATATATGCATTTCCCAAATGAATTATTTACCTTAAATATCATCTAAGCAGTATTTCCCTACTTAGCATCACTCAGTGGACAAGGCTATTTTTCTAACTAAGCATCAGCTTCCCAGCCACTTCTACGGTTGTTGAGATCTTCACGTGAAAACCCAAAGAAAATTCTTCAGTGATGTTCCTTTTCCCCAGCAGGTAAACTCATCAGCGAGAGGTTGGACCCATCTCAAAGCAAAACACCATCACAGAGATCAAGGCCCCGGGACAGCGATTAAATCTATTGACAGAGCCACCAGCAGCGGGGCAGAGTCCACGTTGTTTCGGCAGGTCTAGGCAGAGGAGGGGACGATGGGACGCAGGAGCTATGAGCGGCAGCGTGAATGTTTCAGCAAGTTACGGGCAACTCTCACGAGAGGGGTTGCAATGGAAATCATTATCCGCTGGGCTACAACAGTCATTGCTTTCACTGTAATGTTTCTCACTTAAAAAGCAGCCAGCTTCCATAAATTACTAGCCACTGGAGATATTTCAATGATTTAGATTAAGAAAAAAATCCCTTTTTAAATGTAGAAAATATTTTCCCAGACTTTAGCTCCAAAACAGCTGAAAAGCTTTTCTTCCCTTCTCAGTTTTTTGTCTTTAAATGACTTTTTTTTTTCTTGCCTAAAAATAGACAGAGAGCTCTAGTTTGGAATAGATTGTTTCTGAGAAGGATGTTACTGCAGGAGATGCCTTATGCTGCAAGCGCCTTTATGGAATTACATCCACAAATACTGATGCTCTAACAAACCCTGTACAACCGAACAGTTGCTCGAGGTCCACCAAGGAAGGTACATTTCCATGTTCTGGAAGGCAGCCTAAGACAGCAAAATCTGGCTTCTACATGCTCGATTACCGCCAGCATTTTCCTGAATTGCCTGAACAGCATAAAGGAAATAAATGACCTTTGTTACAGAGGAGGAATAAAAAGCCCTTCAAGTTTCCTTATAGGTAGGATGGCATTATTATTCTCGAAGAAAAACCGCAGTTACACAGAATACCGTACCTTCCTTAGCTGGCTTTCATATTCTTCTCGGAGTTCCCCTGGTTTGCTTAATTTAATGGGTGCTCTGAATATAAAGTCTGGAAAGAGAAGGAAAAAAAAAAAGGAAACACTTTTTAGTGTACTATGATTGGGGTTGTCCATTATTTCCCAAAAAGGGTAAGCTCTCCGGGGACTGCACAAGAGGTTCTGCAGCATTTTTTCGAGCACATATGTTTATATTACGACGCTGCTATCAAAGCTCTGTTTAACATATAGAAACATTTGGGGAAGGATGGCCAAGTAATACCATTTTGCATGTCTATAGTTTCTTTTGAGATTCTCAAGAGTTCTTGACAAGCAGTTAAGCAGTCAGGGGAGTATTAGGAGGATGTAAACACAGAGGTTAAGTAACAGCCCTGAGATATCACAGGGAATCCGAAGCCTAGAAATAAAACCAGGCTTTAAGCGTCTGCTCCGGCCAGACACCCAAGCAACACAGGCTGACAGCAGCAGCACAACACCCCGAATTCACACCCGTGCCCTTCTGCCATTCAAACGAACACATCGAGAACGCTCTCTATTTTCTATATAAATGGTGTTTTTACTCCTCCAAGTCCCCTTCACCTTCGCAGCCGTTTGCAGTGCTGCCCGCCAGCCCGGAGCAAGCACAGCTTTTACTCCGCTTGCAATGCGCTCCCCGAGGTCAATATTTCAAAGCTGGGCGGGCGGGCTGCTCCATCCGGCAGGAATTCCCCGTCCTGCTCCTGCTTCCTCCCTTCCCCCTCGGGAATTCAGAAACCACAAGCATATTGGCATGGGGTTATAGTTTAACCTCCATCCCTGGAGTTTGTTACTCCCCAAATGACTCCTTTCTGTCGGCCTCAAAGCTCCCTCCTGATTCTGTGCAGCACAAGTCTGGGCAAGTTGCACTGCAGAAAAAAGGATGGAAAAGGGAACAACCGGAATAAAACAACAATCCCTGAACAACTGTCCTGGCTCAGCCTGTGTCTACTCCAGGCAGGGTGCAGCACAGCTCATCGTCCCAATGTGCTATGCTCAGGACGAAACGGGTACAAGCAAGGAGGAACCGTCAGTGGTATTTCCTTCTCCCAGCTCGCTAAAATTAAGCGATATAAACCGGCAGCTCCATCGCATGTTTTGTTTAGGAAGCATTGTTATTCCTCAAACACATTGGCCCGAAATGAAAAGTTCATGGTGGGGTAGGTAAATCAAACACCCCGCGGCCAGCGGACGACTGCCCTGGCAGGCATCCTCCAGTTCACGGCTGCATTCGCCTCCTCCCTGGAGACAGGTCAAAGCCCTGGGGCCGAAACACGCCATTTAAAGACTGGCTCAATCCTGTTTTCACCTGTCCTGCCTTCCACCAGTTTGCTTTTAAAGTTTTTAGAGGAAGGCCCCATAACTTCAGGCCCTCCCCACCGGTGAGCGTGAGTGCAAACTCCGGAGCTTCCTGCTCGAGGAGCTGCGGAGAGGGAATGCTGCCAATGCCAGAGCTGAACAAATCACAAAGTATTTCTTTAATACTTGCTTTAGAAGGGGGTAGAAAAAAAATCTCCTGCAATCGAACATCAAGCATATAGATTATAAGGCTTTTTTTTTAAAAAAAAAAAAAAAAAGAGCTGCTCTTCCCTCTTACTCGCACGCCTGCGCGAGCTAAGCTTGTTTTTGAAGGAAAACATCCAAAATGTCCCAACACGTGTGATAAAAATCCCGAGCGGTGGCAATGCTGGGGAGGCCAGGCTGCATTCCTCGCTCCTGCTTCTGCGCCTGCAACCGGCCGCGCTGGAAACCTTCCACCGGCTTCTCAAAATGTTTTTTCAATTGTGTCCTTGAGCAGTTCCAGTTCTTTGTGAATTTTATCAAGCTGAACTTCCACGGAGACAGTCCCAAGAGCAGCAGCAATCTGTAACATGCCCGCAGCAACCTTCAATTACTTCTGAATGTTTCAGGCTTGTCTCAGACCTTATCTTCATAGCTAAAAAGGTGTATTTTTTCCCTCCAGGGTAATAAAAGCGTATGAGCTAACCCGAGGGAAACATGCCGCAGTAAAGACAAGCCACATAAATTGTTTTGCTGCTTACAGGGGTTCAGCAAGCCAGAAGAGATTTTAAATAATGAAACAACATTTATCTATAAAGTTGTGCTGGGTTAGCTAAAGTGGTCCAACACCAGGTGGAGGCGATTTTATCTACAGCATCTTCCTGCACCAACTTGTGTATTTTATAGATGGGTCGAGAGAGAGAGACCCCAAATTTCTAACTGTGTAGAAGAGATGAAAACAAAAATGTATGCACAACTATATATCTACATTTACAACACCCCATCACAGTTTCTGGGTTAGAGTGATGCTGCACGGCGGCTGCCCCCAGCCAAGGATGCTCCCATTGGCACAGAACCACTGCAAATCGAACCAGACTGGTCCTCGCACCAGGATGCAGCTGGGGAGGAAGGCAAGATGATCAGATCATCACGCATGTTCCTCCAGCACATCTCCGCGTGCTAATTCTGGATGTTCAGATCCAGGACAAGGCTGCTCAGCTGTTTCGATGTGTGCTATGGCCTAGGAGAACAACGGAAATGGGTCAGATAATGGAAGAAATGGCCTTTTACTTGATTTTGCAGCAAAGCTCCTGCTCGCTCTTCCTCTTGAGCAAGTTGTGGGTCAACAGAAACGGTTTCTGAATGAAGCTGACTTGGAAGGGCTGTTGGGAAGGCTGGCACTGGGATGCTCCTTCCAAGCAGGGTGATAGCACCGAAACAGTCGCAGTGGCAGGATCAAACCCAGCATCCTGCTCTTTTATGCTGGCAGACAAGAGTTTCATCCTATTGTGCTCAATCTTGGAAAAAACAACTGATTTCTACACTATTTGAGAGGACAAAAGATTTTCTAGTTATTTAACGCTGGTTCTCCTTATAAGAGGCATTTGACTTGTAGCCTCAATCCCCTTGAATGGCTCCATCCTTTCAACGTCAGCACACAGAAGTGTGCATTACACACTGTCACCATTAATCCATGCTCCTGACCAGAAGATTTTATATTTACTGGCGTAAGATTCAGAAACATCCATCTGGTGAATTCAGCCACAGGGGTTGAATAAAAATAAGTTGAACTCAATTCAGAAACCCTTCGGTTCCCTGTCTGTCGTTCAGAGGCTCCTGGGTTTTACCAAACCAATGCCATCCGGCAAGTTAAAGCTCTGCCTCCTGCAGCGGCAAATCCCCCTCACTCCCAGCTTCCATGGAAACTTTCAGCAGACTTTGTAGCTTCCCTTATTCCTGGCAGGGATAATCAAAACCTTGAGGTTTTCGCCGTTTTTCCTTTTAACTTCCAGCAGTTAGTGTTTATACTTGCAGATGAAGATGAGATCTTAATGTTTTCAAAACACAAAACAAGAAGTTAGAAGTTTTCTGATTACGGAGAAGTTTGGAAACAGTTTTCCAACAAGAGTAGTTACTTTAAAAGGGTGTTAACTAAACTACATGAAGATACGCTAATGGCATACTTCTTATATATATACACTTCGGCATCGGTGGATCAAGACATATTTGGAAACAAGAAATTAAATCTCAAAAACATTTCAACTGCAAATCTGCAACTTTTTCGTTAAGTGGAAGAATCACAAAGGTTGGAGCTGTAGGAAGACTTAGGGCTGTCACATACCGGTAGGACAACAAGCGGCATCGCCAGCCCCCTTCTCCTGCCCTGCCGTGGGCATCCGTGGTCACAGCAAACGGGAGACAGAAACCGAGTCATAGAATCACAGAATGGTTTGGGTTGGAAGGGACCTTAAAGACTATCTAGTTCCAAGCCCCCTGCCACGGGCAGGGACACCTTCCCCTAGATCAGGTTGCTCAAAGCCCCGTCCAACCTGGCCTTGAACACTTCCAATGATGGGGCATCCACAAGGTCTCTGGGCAACCTGTGCAAGTGCCTCACCACACTTAGTCAAGCTAAGACCAATCTACTGCAAAAAAATGCAACCCTCCAAAAAAGTTTTTTCACCCCAAAGCAGCTCCAGCACCACAACAGGCTCCAGACCAGTTCTCGTGCACAGACAAATGGGACAAAAATAGATTTAATCTAGTTCTGAGCCCCGAGTTCCAGCTGAAGCAGGAGATGACACTAGAAGAACATTAATGTGGTTGACAGCTATTAAAATACTGTCATTTCTCCCTCACTTCCTTCATCCTAAATAGGCTAGTACCAATAATTTCAATAATCTCCCTGAGACAAGACTTCCCAACAGATTTTCATAGAATCACAGAAGGGTTTGGGAGGGAAGGGACTTTTGAAGATCATCTAGTCCAACCCCTCTGCCATGGGCAAGGACATGTAGTGGTGGGCTTGGCAGTGTTAGGTTTTTGGTTGGACTTGATGATCGTAAAGGTCTTTTCCAACCTAAATGATTCCATGATTCTATGATCTTCCCCTAGATCAGGTTGCTCAAAGCCCCATCCAACCTCACCTTGAACACTTCCAATGATGGGGCATCCACAAGGTCTCTGGGCAACCTGTGCCAGTGCCTCACCACTCTCATCGTAAAGAATTTCCTCCTTATGCCCGGTCTAAACCTACCCTCTCTCAGTTTAAAGCTCTTGCCACCTGTCCTGTCACTACAGGCCTTGGTAAAAAGGCCGCAATAAGGTCTCTCTGGAGCCTTCTCTTCTCCAGGCTGAACAACCCCAACTCCCCCAGCCTGGCCTCGGAGCAGAGGGGCTCCAGCCCTCGGATCATTTTTGTGGCCTCCTCTGGACCCGCTCCAACAGCTCCGTGTCCTCCTTGTGCTGAGGACCCCAGAGCTGGACGCAAGGCTGCAGGTGGGGTCTCACCAGAGCAGAGCAGAGGGGGGAATTACCTAATTTTGCTTGATTTCTGTTCCAAACTGAGCGACCTGGCTCCCCTAGCACTGATGCCAGGGCACAGAAAGCATTGCTTTCCCCGGCACCTCTTTTTCCGTTTCTTTTCGAAAGCTTGGCTTGGGGAGCTGGGAAAAGGTGCACAAAGCCACCTAAAAGTGGAGCTAGACACGCATTAAAAGCAAGACAGAAAACAAAAAAATCCATCACTTAATGGGAA